TCGCACACAGCCATCAACGCGACCGATACCCTGATTACACTCGCACACAGCCATCAACGCGACCGATACCCTGATTACACTCGCACACAGCCATCAACGCGACTGATACCCTGATTACACTCGCACACAGCCATCAACGCGACTGATACCGATTACACTCGCACACAGCCATCAACGCGACTGATAGCCTGATTACACTCGCACACAGCCATCAACGCGACTGATACCCTGATTACATGCTCCAGAACTGTGAAGCAATGCATTCCTGTTCTTCTAAGCACCCCAGGCTGGGATTCTACCACAGCAGCCCTAGGTAACAGATACACCGTAAAACCAAATGAAGTTGACAAGTCATGATGGTTAGAAACGGTGTCATCACCTAAGGGATCAGATAGGTGGAGGGCTGCTGGAGGCGGCAGATTCCCGGCTAAAATCCCAGCTCTACAGCCTTGGCCGAGTCCCAGTTTTCCCATCCGTAAGACGGGGCTAATCATAGAACCTTCGATAGAGTCATTTCATGAGATAACATTTGGTTTGTCGACCAGTGAAAAATGGTCACTGTGGTGGTCTAATAGAACTAAAGATGGTGAGTCCAGTGTGAGGGAGTCGGGCTTGGGGCTGAGAGGGGTCCAGTGAGTAGGGCGAGGCCTGACCATGGACTGAAGGCCTGTGCTGGGGGCAGTTTATGACTATATCCAGTCTGATGGGCTTCGGTTCAAATTCTAGCCTTGTCGTTGGCTAGGCATGCAGCCAGCCAGCTTAGGGCGGGTGACTTCCCCTCTCGGAGTCTCAGTTTCTGGATCTGTCATTAAAAAATAGTAATAAACCCTACAAAAACAAACTCACTGCCATCAAGGCGATGCCGACTCATAGCGACCCTTCAGGATAGGGTAGACCTGCCCCCATGAGTTTATGAGACGGTGATTCCTCACAGAAGTAGAAAGCTCTGTCATCCTCCCCTAGAATGGCTGGTTTGCAGACCCCGGCCCAACTCGTAACCCCCACCCCACCTGAATCTGTCATGTGGAAGTGATAACAGTCCCTGTACACTGAGTTCTTCTGAGATGTCATTACACGTGAAAGTCTGAGCACAGAGCCTGGTCTGGAATAAGCACTTGTTTATCCACATGTCGATGTCTTCTCTTTCATTTAACGCAGATGTGGACACTGGGTGGGTGGGGTTATGTGGGCAGGAAGCTGGAGACCGTGTCCCATTCCACCCACGCCTGGTGGGCACCTACCTTTCTAAGGGCATATCCCTGGAAGGCCTCTCCTCTGCCATGTGTACGCTAGGATCCTCAGGCTTTCTCGTGGGGTCTGCCTCCACTGCTGGAGGCGGGGGGCCCACTGTTAGGGTGTCATCTTCCAGGGGGACATCGGCCTGCACCACCTCCTTCTTGGCTGCCTCCAAACCTGGGGGTTCTGGTAGACTTCTGGATGCCAGGTGAGGCTTGGACTCCTGCCGGGCCTTCCGGGCGGCCTGTCGGTCTTGAGCCCTCTTGACAGTGGGACGAGGCATGGTGCCCATGTGGCTGTACATGTCACTTGAGCGGGCATAGGCCGGAGGGCTCTTGGGAATTGTCACCAGGTCATCTTGGGTGGCTTCGAAGGTGTGCTCCAGATGGGATTGAGTACTTACGAAGGTGGAGGACCGTCTCAGAGTGAGGGACCGAGAAATGTTGGAGAGACTCCCAAAGCCTTTGAACTTGAAGAATTCTGGAGGAGGTGGGAGGAAGTGATGGGAAGGGGTTAGTGAGAATGAAATGGTAGCAATCAAAGATACCACACGGCAGTGCTGAGGACCCAAGGAGGGTGGAGGGCGATCACTCTCCCAGGGAGGGATCTAGTGCTCTGACTTTGGAGCCTCACGACCCTGGGCCCAAATCCCTGCTCTTCCAATCTGACTGTGTGACCTCAGGCAAGTCACCCACCCGACTTTGCTGAGCCCCATCCTCCACAGTAGTACAATGGGACTTAACAGTACTTACCGCCACCCTAAGGGCCATGGGAAGAGGGATGAAAAGCATGCAAATACTGTTCCCAGGGCCCATGCAAGTGCAGAGCATGATGGGGCCAGTGGCCTGGAGCTGACGTTGCTCGTTCTGGTGACAAAAGGCTCAAAAGGCTCCAGCCCCATTTTCCAGACCAGGTCATCCGGTCACCAGGTGATGCACACGCTCGCATGCGTGCGTGAGAGGGTGGGTGCACGAGTGTGCGTGTGAGGTGGGCTGGGGGCCTGAGTGTGGGAACGGTGGTGGTGGTGGGGATGAGGCCAAGGGTCGCATTCTGTGGTTTTCTGCTTCCTGTCAGCCGAGCCTTCATTTCTGACTCATTTGGCAAAACTCGGGTGATACCATCTCCCCACTTCCGCAGGGGTATGTGTGAGCTCCCTCCTCCTCGAGCCCACCCCCCCATGCTAAGGGACTACCCCTCCCCTCAGCCTCCACTGTCTGAGTTCCCTATAGCCCTTAGAGGAGCCAAATGGGGAAAGAGCCACCTCCACCACCTCGGGTCCCCATTTAAGTACAGAGGTAAGATACCCCCATCAACAGGAAGTGCAGAAAGGGGAAGAGACTTACCCAGGGTCACACAGCAAGGCCATGGCTGAGCCGAGACTGAGGCTCAGGCTCTAGACTCCGGGGACAGAGTTTCCCTCCCTGCCCCGCCCCTGGACCTTCATGGCTGCCTTGTGATGCTCTGAGCTTGGCCGGCTGCAGCCTGGGCAGAAATTGGGCTCCTGGCCTCAGGACAACCACCACCTCCCCCCACCACCCCCCACAGCATGATGTGCTTTGTGTCCTGTCTTGGGGCAGAGGCAGGAGTGTTGGCTCAGAGGGAAACTGAGGCCCAGAGTCGAGGGGTGCTGGCTCTAGCCGGGCTCTGTGCTCACTAGCCAGGTCGGGCTATCTCTGGGCCTCAGTATTCCGGTCTCTAGAACGTAGGCAGCAGCCTCTGTTCCACTCCCCACCTCCCAGCCTGCTGCTGTCAGGTGGAAAGCAGCAGGGGAGACCAGGAGGGGACCCAGCTGGGCCAGCAGAGGGAAGGGTAGGTGTGGCCCCTGGGCCCAGAGACTTGTTAGTCCCTCTGGGCTCGTTCCTGACCAAGTGCTGGGTCTCAATAGCACCCCGAGGGGTTGACCCTGCTGCCCCACACAGTCCCAACTTGAGATCAGTGTGGACCCAGGCTGGCCCGACCCTCCAACCTGCCCAGCATGGAGTCAGACAGCCAGAACCACCCAGAGATGGGAGGGATGAAGAGATCCAGAGCCAAGAGGCGGGGTGGGGGAAAGACGGGGCAGTGATGGGCAAAGAGTGGCACAGAGGTGGAGTCCAACCCCACGGGGTGGGAGCGACCCAGTCAGCACAGTTCGGAGGCCCAGAAGCAGAGGGAGACAGGGCTGGATGCAAAGAGAGACAGAAGGGAGACAAAGAAACAGGCAGTGAGCAGCCCAGGTGGACAGGCCAACAGACGGACGGACGGAGGGATGGATGGAGGCAGGTGGCTCCTTTACTCACTGAACTTTTTGCTGGTTTTCTTCGGCCCCTCCGTCATCCTGGCGAGTCCTGCAGAGCCCCCGGGGGGCACCCAGCGAGTGACCGGTCGAGACCGTGGACATCGATCAAGAGGTGCCTCCCCACCTCCCTTCCCCTTTCTCAGGCCCTCACTGGCTTCCTCTGTGTATTTTTAAACCAGCGAAACTCCCACAGCCCCACCCTCCCCATCCTCTCCACAGGGGGCGGGGGCCCCCTCTGGGTCGCCTCCTTGGCCTCAGCAGCAGGGGGGCAGGTGGGGGGGGGCTAAAAACCCATAGGACCTGGAAGGTCTGGGCCGCCAACCACAGGTTCTGGGAATGGAGCCCAGTGGGCCAGAGGCCCCCCGGGGGCCTCCGGCAGCTCTCGGGGGGCCTGGCCAGAGGGATGGGAGGGTATGGGGAGTGAGGTCTGAGTGCAGGGCAGTTGTGAGGAGCTTCAGTTCCCCAGGGATGGACTGGCAGCTGTAGGGGGAGGGTCTGCAGCAGCTCTGGGCTCACTCGGACCAAAGGTCAACTCTTGGCTGGCCAGTGGGCCACCCTGTGATTTGGTCTGGGGCATCTATTCCCTGAGCCTTACCCCTCTCTGCGAGTAGCACCCACCCTTCAAGGTCCACAGCTTGGCACAGGGCCGGACTTGTTTGCAAGCTGGCAGGGCCACAGCAGGAACTTGATCCACCGTCCCCGCTGTACGCAGTGGGGAAACCAAGGGACAGGGCAGCAGGGGGATTACTCTGGGCCACTCAATCGGTAGGGGGCACAGATTGGGTTACAATTTGCCCTTCTGGGCCCCTTAACCTGAGCCTGGTGCCTTTGCCCCTGTGAGCAGAACAGGGATGAGGAAGCCCGACACCTGCAGAGATGGCAGCAGCTGCTCGGATTGGGGCCACAGCAAACGCAGGACTTTCAGATCTCAGCTCTGCACGTGCAGACGGGTTACTTCTGCCTCAGTGCCGCAGCCGCCACCGAAACCTCCGGCTGCCACCCAGTCCGCCCTGTCTTGTGGCAGCTCTATGTAGGGCTTTTCCAAGACCATGAACCTTCATAGGAGCCCACAGCCTTGCCTTTCTCCTGTGGACTGGCTAGTGGATTTGAACCACCGAACTTGCACTTGGTGGCCCAACAGCTAGCCCCCAGCGCCACCACCAGGGCTCCTGAGATTCATCTCATCTCTAACGAGGGGGTGTTGTGCTTTGTGGCTACTCTGGGCCCCAGGCTGGCCACCGGGACTTGGGAGGGGGGCGGAGCGTCCGAGGACAGCTGGGGGCAGTGCTTACATTCTCGTGTTTCCTCCTTGCCTGCTCCATCCCAGCCCAGGCTGCAGGCCTGCACCCTCACAGGGCCATGGTATGCCTGTGGCCCCTTCTACCAACCTGGAAACGGAGGCCCAGAGAAGTGATGTTCTCTGGAATGGGAACTTGCCTGGTCCAGTTTCAGAGGGGCCTCAATTGTTAACCGTTAGAACCTTGGCCTGCCCCTTCCCCGACTTGTGTCAGCTTGGCCATGGGCCTTGGTGGGAGCAGGGTCTAGGTGGAGCTTCTTGATGGTGTGAGGGTGAACGGGGGCCCTGACAGGGCCAGGGGCAGAGCCCACAAGGCCCAGGCAGCCGGGGCCCCAGTTTGTGACCGGCCTGAGTGAGACCAACTGAGAGGAAGGTGTTGTTTCTGAGAAGAGCATTTCCAGCACCTTCCACAGAGCACCGTCGGCATGCCAGGCGTGCATCTTTGTGAATCTTTGCCGCAGACCTCTGAGGCCTATCCTGGTACTGTCCACGGTTCACAGATGAGAAGACTGAAGCTGAGGACAAGCACAGGCGAGAGAGACCGTCATCCAGGCGTCTGTCCTTGCGGAGGCCAGCTGCCCTTCCTGTCTCAAGTAGGCTTCAGAAGATGGAGAAGGTCCCCCTGCCTTGGCAGAAGCCCGGAGGTCTTGCTAGCAGGATAGCCGAGCTGGGGCCCTTGGCTCCACTCCACCATGGCCTGGGCTCGCTGCCAGGGTTGTGGCAGCAGCCGGTGTTGACATCCCAGCTCAGTCTACTCCTGACTTGCTGCTCTGTGACTTCCTGCCCTGGGCCTCTGGGTCTTCAGCCACAAGGTCACCCTAAGTCCCAACACTGGGGGCTGTCAGGAGCACAGGCTAGGCTGCTGTGGGACTTGGCAGTGGTGGCAGTTTTGCAGTGACACTGGGGGAGTCAGGCGGGGGACACCTTGGCACGGGCCAGGAAAACCCTGGGGGTGTGTGTGGGGCGGGCGGGGTGAAGCCTCTGAGGGGCGTGTAGCCTGGGCAGAGGTGCCCCAGCACCAGGGCTGACCGACCGTTGCTGGTGTCTCTTGAGAGAATGAATGGAGCCCACTGTGGTGGCTCCGCCAGGCTCAGAGGCCCCTTTGTGCTGCCACGAGTAGCCGTTGGGAGTGCGGCTGGGGACCTGCTGGCGGGTGGCTGTCCCACAGGCCCCTCTCAGCCCAAGTTGGAAGCCAGCCTGGTTCACGCTTTGAAGCCCTAAACACACGAACTGAGTGCTCTCTAGCCCCCAAGCCTTTGCTCAGCCTGGCCCCACGCCTAGACCTGCTGCCCCCTCCACGGGCCCAGGCGTTTGCACCCTTCCAGTCCCTCCCCGGAGGGCGGGGGAGCCCCGATGGGGTCGTGGTTATGGATGGGGCTAACTCCAAGGTCAGCAGTTCAAAACCACCAGCCAATCCTTGGGAGACAGGTTTTCTACTCCCGCAAAGAGTGACACTCTAGGAAGCCCACAGGGGCCGTTCAACCCTGTCCTATTGGGTCTCTGTGAGCTGGCATCGACTCCCTGGCAGGGAGTAAGTCCCTCCAGTGCCGGCCTGAACCCCAGTGCCCCGGGAGCCCTGCTCTGAGCACCGTCCACTTTCCTTGCCCCTCCACAAGTCACTGGCTGGCCAGGAATTGGAGACCTAAAACTTTATACTCAAAGCTATTGGAATTCGGTAAACCCCACCTGTCACTAAAGGTTAAGTCCCCACCTGTGTGACCTTGGGCCAACCATGCCTGAGCCTCTGTGTCCCCTTCATTGACTGGAGCAAATGCAACAGGATCTTGTGACCGTGAAACAAAACACCAATTCTGAGGTCATCCTTCTTGCTACATCCCCTTGTGTCTTCATTTGCACGTTCCAAATGTAAGTGGAGCTTCCTGTACCATAGGCACTCAGTCGAGGCTTTGGCCCTGCGCTGGCCTGGTTGTCCTGGTATTGGGAGCAGTATAGATCCTGGGCTTGGAGAGCACAGAGGCCTGGCTTTGAAGCCCAGCCCAATTGCTTCTGGTTGAGTGGTCTTTGGGAAGGCCACTTCACGTCTCAGGGCCTCAGTTTCCTCTTCTGTCACCTAGGCCCAATAAGAGTCCTTCCCAAGAGAGGTGCTATGTAGTGCCATGGTTTTGTAGGGCTGTGGACATCACCGGCCACTCTCTGTCCTGTCTCTCTACCCAGGCACCCCTTGTCTTTCTGGCCCCACAAGCAGCCCAAAGCAGCTGGCCCCAGAGCCTTTCTTTTCTTTCCCTCCACATAGCTTCACCCTAGTCCTGCTCTGGGGTGGGAAACAGAGGGTCCAGGCCAGGGTCACACAGTTGGCCAGTGTTTCCCAAACCATCGCCCAAACTGTTAAAGACCAAGGACCCTCTCAAGAGCCTGGTCAGCAGGTCAGCCAGCAGACTGTTACTGGGTACCAGCCACATGCTCAGTCTTGCCAGCTTAGCCAATCCACAGGATTCAGGAAGCCAGCAAAATCGAAGCCAAGATCCGCTGGAATTAGCTGGAACCTAATTTCTTCTCCTTCTACCTGGGTTTGCCTGCTGTAATGGGCTACAGCCTTCAGAAGGGCTTCTGACTCCCTGCCATGGCCCAGATAACCAGCAGCAACTAGGCTAGGCCACGACTGATTCTCTGTATCCTGTAACTAGCCTCCATTTCTCTTGTGATCTGATGTGATTATCCAGTGTGTTGTAAATCCTAACTTCTATGATGGTCATGAGGCAGGCTACAATCTACAGGATTAGGTTGTATTTTGAGTCAATCTCTTTTAAGATAGAGATTAAACAAACCAGCAAAACCCTGAGGGACCTAAGGGAGGGGAGTCAGTGGGAGTAAGGGTGACTCCTTGGATCCAGGCCTCCTATACTGAGGATCTTCTAGACCCAGAAGAAGATGGTTGCCAGGACACATGGAGATCTCTGAGCCCACAAATGTTGAAAGTAGATAAGGACCTTGGTACTGAGATAATAAAGCCTCCCCAGAGAGCTGGCGCCCTGAATGTACATGTCCAGCTCCCTAAACTGCGAGAGAACAGAGTTTGGTTAGTTAAAGCCAATCACTTGTGGTACCTTCTACTCCACTTGCCCACCTTTCTCCCCCAGCGAGCTCATGAGGGCTCAAAGCTCTAAGGGGAAGTAACTGGCGGATGTTGGGGTTCGGGCTAGGGACGACGAGGTGGTGACACTACCGGAGCCTCTGCCCACAGGACGTGGTGCAGGGCTGGCCTCGTGGGAAACAGAATGTGGACCGTGGAGCGTCTGAGGGTGGCAGTCACCCATGCATACCTCCTCGTGTGCCAGGTGCCCCCCCACCCCTTGGCCTCCCTCCAGGCCAGCTTCCCTGCATCTGGGCTTTGCTCTGGTTCTGATGGTCCAGGCTCTGCCACGGCAAAGGACTTGGCCTTTAAGCCACACAGGCCCGGGTCAAATACCAGCTTGGTCACTGGCCAGTTGTTTGACCCTGGTCAGTGATGTCACCTGTGCCCTAGTGTGTGCAGTGGAGTTGAAAGCAGTCCCCACTTCGTCTGGGTGTGTGAGAATGGAGATGACTCTCACATAGTGCTAAGTGCAGGGCTTGGCCCCTTTATTTTCCCTCAATAAATGGTAATTACTATAATTATTATCTTTGCCCTCCCTGCCCTCCTCCTCCCTCAAATTAGCCAATGGGCTCCCTGCTTCCAATGTTGGCCCATCACTCCCTGAAACATCCCTCAACTGCCTAAAACCCTTGACAGGCTGGCCACCCCGGCTTCAAGTGAGGCCTCTCCACCCTCACACCGACCCTGAAGGCCCTCTCTGGCAAGGCCTTGCCCCACAACGGGGCTTCTTGGCACACCAGAATCAGCAAACCGACTCCTGCCTGCACAAAGAGGCTTCAAAGCCAGGCAGTAGGAGCTGAGGAACAGCCCAGAGGGCTTTCTGCAGGCGTAGAGGGCACCGGGTGGGGGAGGAGATAGGCGCAGGGCGGCACAGCCCTGAAGTGTGGAAATGGCAGGAGATTCCTGTGGCCACAATCTGGGGAGGTGAGCAGGAAAGAGCCCCAAATGTCACAAGGCAGTGGAGGGGTTGGGGGAGATGGGAACTATGTCCAGAACCCACGTTGGAACAAGCTGGTGGGTTCTGTGAGGAGCGTGGAGAGAGGCCAGATGGGGTGGGCCAGGACTGAAGACTCCTCTGCAGTGTGGGGGCGGGTTGCAGGAGTGTGGAAACGCACTGTCATAGAGTTGAACCCAATGTAAGGCAGGGCTGCCCCTGTGGGTTTCTGAGGCTAATTCCTTACAGAAGTCAAACGCCTCATCTTTCTCCCACTCAATCGCTTTCAAGCTGTAGACTTTGAGGTTAAGTGGCCCAACAGGAAATTCACCGAGCCACCAGGCACCAGGGCTCCTGGGCAGGGGCTTGCAGGACCCAGATTCTCAGCAGGTGGGCAGATGGGAATCAAGGAGGTTAATACCAGGAAGATGTTGGGAAAGGCACAGGTGGATGGGGAGGTGGGGGTTGCCTAGAGGGAGATGGTGGGTGACTAACAGGCCCAGTGGCCGTCACAAGGACAGCAGGCCTCACTCGTGCCCTGAGCGGACCAAGCCACAAGAATCCTCTGTAGATTCAGAAAGGCCCAAGTCCCAGCTTTGACCTTGAGCCAATGACCTCACCTCTCTGTACCTCCGCATCTGTAAAATGGGTTTGGGGGCCTGTGGTGAGGATTCAGAGGGAACGCGGCAGTCCTTGGGCACAAAGGGAGTGCACAGCAAATGTTAGCTATTTCTGAGGGTCCAACCATCGGCTCGGGGTTGCTGTGCAGAAGGGTCTGGCGGTGCTGGGATTCCTGTCCCGGGCTTCCAAAAGCCGGGGTCCAGGGCCCGCCCGAGGCCCGGACGTTGCTGGCTCACTGCCTCCAGTGTCGCCGCGCCCCCTGGCGGCCG